TTTTGAGAGAATTCGTGAGAAATGTGTTCTTTCTGTTTTTCAGATTTGATGAATTTGGCATTGAACTGAATTTTGATGAGACGATGAAAGATGAAAAAGAAAATTAACGAAGAAAAGTTTCATTTTGATTTTATCGAAACGAAAATTGTTGAAATCGAAGAAAATTTGACGATCTTTATTTAACGAAATCATCAATTGGTTTCTAATTTTAATCAAATCAACAAATGAATATCTTTTCCTTTTCTTTCAAAATCTATTTGAATTCGTTTTTATGCGAACATTCTTTTCAATAGTTAAAATTAAATCAAATTCGATTTGGAAAAGACTTTTCAGATGTTTCTTTGCAAAAGTCTTTGTATGGAAAAGTGTTAATCTAAATGAAAAAAGAATTCGTTTTTCTTTGGTTAGAATTCATTTCGAGGAAATGGAAACAAAATGGATCGACAATTTGTGGGAGAAATGGAGAAGGAGAAGAATTAAATCAACTTTCAGATCCTTTTGGAATATTTATCGACAAACATCGAAATATTTTCATTGCGGATTGGGGGAATGATCGAATTGTTCGATGGAAAAGAAATGAAAATCGAGGAACAGTTGTGGCTGGTGGAAATGGAAAAGGAAACAGTTTGAATCAATTGGATCGACCAACGGATGTGATTTTTGATGAACAAAATAATTCAATCATCATTGCTGATTATGGAAATCGAAGAGTAATGCGATGGTTTTTGAACACGAATCAGTAGGAGATTCTCATTCACAATATCGACTGTTGTCGGTTAACAATGGATTTTTTTGTTTCTGATTGGGGGAAACATGAAGTGAGAAGATGGAAAATAGGAGAAAAGGGCGAAGGAACATTAGTTGCTGGTGGAAATGGAAAAGGAGAGAATCTAAATCAATTAAATCATCGTCGAGGAATCATTGTTGATCATGAGGGTCGAATTTATATTGCAGATAGTGACAATGATCGAATAACGCGATGGTGTGAAGGAGATGAAGAAGGTGAAATAATTGTTGGTGAAAATGGACAAGGAAATGAACCTAATCAATTGTCATATCCTTGTGGTTTATCATTTGATGGTGAAGGAAACCTTTATGTTGGTGATCATGGAAATCATCGAATTCAACGATTTGATTTTGTCATTTGAAAAAAAAAAATTTATTTTAAATTTCGAAATCGAAATAAAATGCAATTCGAAATGAAAAACAAAGTTTAAAGAAACGTTTTTGAGAAAATTTTGTTTTTGTTTTCTTTAGAATAAATAAAAGGAAATTCGTTGGATTTTCCAAATGAATATTTTAGAGAAAATCATTTGAAAAACAAATTCAATACAATAGAGAAAATGAAGCTTTGTGAAAAAGGAATTTTGATGAAAAGTTTGAGTGAAGATAAAGAAAAGAATCTTTCAAAGACAAATAGTTGAATCGAAAATGATTTTCATCGAGAAATATTCATTAATTTATCGATGTAAAGAGAAATTCTTTGATATGAAGATGTTTTTCTTTGGAAATAACACGGTGATCGTTGACTCAAACGAGATTTCGAAGTTCATAAATGAAGAATTTCCTCGTTTTGAAAAAAGATTTTGATGAGAAACACGAAATGATCGATCGATTTTTACCATTTTCAATCTTTTGGTTTTTTCTTTTTAATAAATTTTCGAGTTTTTCTTCGATAATTTTCTGATACGAAGAAGATTCCTTGAAAATCATCTCTTCAAATCAAGTTTGTTTCGCTTTGTGACAAAAAAGATCAACAGAATTTGAGAGTTTCATTCTCAAATCAACTAACGGGTGTCACAAAATGAATGAGCCTCTCCGTATTTTTCATGTAATTCATTCATTTTTCAGTGTTTTGTAAAAAATTTTCTTACCGAAAGATTCGTCGTGAAATTCTCTACAAAATCGTAATAGAAGATATTTCTCTAGAAATCGAAAAGAGAAGAATAAGCAAAGAC